TACATCCTAAACCCTAAACCCTGAACCCTAAGCCCTAAACCCTAAACCCTGAAGTAGAAGACTGCAAATACGTCAAGGTAATCCATCCTATAGGGTTAGGGTTGAGGGATACCAGAGCCGTCAACGAGTCCTTCACGAACGCGCAATCGACCCCCCCCCCCCCCATGGCATCCCCCCCAAACCCTGCCTGTTGACCCTAAAAACACCACGGACTATGGGGGAGGACAGAGAAACCTCAGCCTAAACCCCACACCCTGAACCCTAAGCCCTCAAACCTAAACCCACCAATGAACGACAGGAGGGAGAAGGGTAAACCCGAAACCTTAGCCGCTTTAACGCTGAACCCTGAACCGTAAACTCAGCACGAACCACAGGGGGGAGAGGGGAAACCGTAAACCTACCATTACCCCAAACCTTGAACCCTGATTAAACTCTAAACCCACAATGAACCAATGGACCAGAGTGAAAAATCCAGAACTCTGCAGCCTAACCCTAAACCCCTAAACCACAAACCCATGAACCACAGACCCTATGCCCCATATAGGGGTCCCTCCTTTCGTCCCTTGAATGAGCGAAGTTCCTGAAGTCCTGAAGCTCTCCTAGGGCCCCAAAGACTTTAGACCCAAAAACCACTCGCCCCTCCTCCTCGCTGTCGCTGCCAACGGCCACAGAGAGCTCTGCACTGCCACCTGCTACGCACCTAAACCCTACTTGGAGGTTCGTGGGGCACTTAGATTTAGGGCTATAAGTACCCTGAATAAGGCTATAATTAACCACAGTTGCCATAACTATAACCCTACGCATAAGTTCCCCTGAACCCTAAAGAGCGCATGTAAATTTACAGGGCCTCATGACTTCTGGAGTGTCGCCGCTGCAGACAACCGACCGTAGTGGGGGCTTACATGAGCCGGTCGTTTCTGAGTCGCACTTTGCTTGAAGCCCTGTTCCGACCAGCCTGTAGGCTTTCAGCTTCAGCTGAGGGATATTTTAGGGTGGAGGGTCGGTTGGTGGCTGCAGTTCTTCAGCTTGACCTCTGTTGAGGTTTAGGGTTTAGGGTTTAGGGTTTAGGGTTTAGGGTTTGGGGTTTGGGGTTTAGGGTTTAGGGTTCAATGCACCATGGGAGTGTGGGACCCGAAGTGCTCGGTTTATTCAGGCGCCCTCCACATCTCAGAGCCTGATCCGAGGCTTAGCAGCACAGGGCCTAGCCTCTGTGTCGTATGAGTAGGGCGGCTTAGCATCAGCTAGAACATGCTTTAAAATGTCAAAGCCAGAACCAAGAACGAGTTGCTTTCCGACAGTTCGAGTCGCAGCGTCGCCGCGGCCTCTCGCGGGGCCCTTAGTAATGTATCTGCTCAGATCTGTAGATCAAAAACCCTATAGGAATCGAACCTCTCTGAGACACAGAACGCAAGGCCTGGGGCGCACGGGGTGGCGTACCTGTCACAGCACGCGGTCGCATCAGGGGCTTAGGGTTTAAAAGCTTACACGCGTGCTAGTCTCTCGGACTTTCTTTCTGCTGTATTTCAATATTTGTGTTCGCTATGTCTTTCGTTGTTTCTTTCTTTCGTTCTTTTCTAGTTGTTTGTGTGTTTCTTCATCATTTTTGTTTTTTCTTTCTTTCGCTCGTTCTCTGGCTCAGCCTGCGAACCCCCACCTGCCGACCACCCCCACCCAAATTCACAAATATGCAGTGTCAGCACGTGAAACGACACTTTGAGAGTTTGGGCCCCGAACTCAGAACCCTGCACTTCAAACCCGACTGCACCGACAAAAAGACACCCTGTAAAACTGGGTCTACGGTTTAGGGTTTAGTTCAGGGCAGAATGACACAAGCCTAGAAGCTCTCAGCCAGAAGGAGAAGTCGTTCGTTCATGGAGGGCATGTGGTCCAGGACTCTCGGCAATCAACGCCAATGAAGTTCTCACAAGGCACTGCTCGCGAACAGTGGTGCAGATCTTCTGGGCCACGGCGGGCCTTAGGCAGGGTGAGTTCGTTGGAGGTAATTGCCGTGCCTAGACACTCCCACACCAGGCGCCAAAGTTCCTTTGAGCAAACAGTTTGGGCAAATACGTTGCCTGCCAGCTCTAAGATGAAACAAACTAGCCACCCAACACATCAGAAGTGCTGATGCCCAGAAAGGGAGAAGATTTGCCTACTGCAGCGACTGAACAACACGCACTGATCTTGTTGCAGTGCTCGGTACGTCGACTAGCCTAGCTTCAACTGATGATGCTTCCTTTCGGGTACTCCCACATCTTGTGCAAAGAACGGACTTGCAGAGGTTTAGGGTTCAGGGTTTAGGGTTTTCCAGGCCCTCCACCTTCAGCTCTTTCTGGGCCGCTGGCAGCTCAGTCTTGTCCCGGAACTTCGCAAGAAATGGGTTGCGCCAAGCACCCAGAAGTCCTACCCGGTTCTCAGAAAATCCAGTGCGCAGAGATGAGGAGCCTTTACGAAAGGGGCTTGGGGCATGTAGCGGTTTGTGGAATGGGGGTTGATCTCAATGAGGGCCCTAGACATTCGAGGCGCTTTTTGTTGCTTTTGTTCTTATGCGACCGCTTGAGGCATACGGTGATGACCCTGCGTTCGAAGAAGCTTAAAGCCTCAATCCTGAGTACTTCACCACAGGGCAGGGCTTAGGGTTCATAATGAACCCGTTTGCCAGGGACGCTGTAAACCCTAAACCTTACAGGGCTTAGGGCTTTGGGCGATAGCCACATCCGCAAGGCAAAAAGCGCTCGTCTATCCCTGTTCCCTTAGAAGACAACCCAAGGGGAATCGCGTGTAAAAGGCCCCCGATTCCCTGCTTATAAGGCTTAGTGGCTTAGTGCTTCTGAAGGGCGTGGTTGGGCTTCTTAGGGTTGCGGGCATATGGCCTCCACGGCTCAACATCTTAAACGTCAGTAAAAATTCTGAAGCCCATGGAAAGGACCCCAGTGTGCAGCGGCTACCTGGATCCTAGGTCTATGTTAGGTCTTTGTGACCCTTGGAAAGCTCCTTGGTTGCGACCGTAACGTCTAAGCCGCAATGACCCACGCTGTGAGGGCCAGTGTACCCGAATAACCCCCCAAAGCCCTTTCTTTAAGAGCCCCAAGCCCTGCTTTGCCCTAAACCCTAAACCCTAAACCCTAAACCCTAAACCCTAAACCCTAAACCTTAAACCCTAAACCCTAAACCCTAAACCCTAAACCCTAAACCCTAAACCCTAAACCCTAAACCCTAAACCCCTAAACCCTAAACCCTAAACCCGTAGGTGTTCCAGGAGTGCGATGACGGGGACATGAGGGGTATATATAAAGGTACCACACGATAAAAACAAAAAAAACTAATGAGTTCTTGGTCTTCGTACGCCTGGACGTGTTGCATGCCTATAAACCTCAACCCTCAACCCCTCAACCCGAGTTAGGCCTCACCAAGGTCCTTCCACGATGGCCTGGTCGCTCAAGCCTGCCACCTCCGATCCGCTGGCAACTCCCCAGACCTGTACTTGGAGGTCCATGTGGGCATCTATAAGTAGGGTTTACGGTTTAGGGTTTCGGGTTTAGGGTTGAGGGTTTCGGGTCTAGGATTTAAAGGGCACCTATAAGCAGGGCTATAAGCATGGTAGCTACGGTTATGGCCTTATTCAGGGTACTTAGAATCCTACTTGCAAGTGCCCATGAACCTCCAAGTAAGGGTATGTTGAAGGGCAGCTGGGTTCTACAGGGTTTACCGCAGAGTTTGGGGGGTTTAGTATATAGGGTGTAAGGTTCATGGGCGCAGGGGTTTGGGGGTTTGGGGTTGGGCGGGTGGCACAGCACCAAGTTCCAGCGACCCTAAACCGCATGAAGGCTCCAAGTTTGCGGTTTTTAGGGTGAAATCAGGTAGCTATAAGGAAAGTTATTAAAGGGTAAGACCAGGCAAGGTAAGGTAACCTATGCCCAGCAGCAAAACATTCAGGACAGCAGGCAGGCAACTGAACCGAACTGCTGCCATGACAGCAGGTCAGGGAGGCTCAGGCGGGCGACCGTACCGAAATGTGGCTCTTGATACTTGGTAGCCCAGTAACCATATTACAACAAGGGCACCTCTTTTTGTTTGGGCTGGTTACTTGAAAAGGGAACCTTGAACCCCCAAAAAAGGGAAAAGGGTACCGCTGGACTACCAAGGATGGGTAGGCCAAGCGCTTGCAGGCCAAGCCTGGGATCTGAAGAAGCCGTACCATTCACGATGAACCAAAATTCTGAACAGGGTTTAGGGTTTAGGGTTTAGGGTTTAGGGTTTAGGGTTTAGGGTTTAGGGTTTAGGGTTTAGGGTTTAGGGTTTAGGGTCAGCATGGCGAACAGCAGCAAAGCCCGCCAATGCTGCAGTTGCTTTTGAAGGTCGAGGTGTGGACCTTCGAATTAGCAATGTAGTTTGTTGCTTTTGTGTTTTTGGGGCATAGGTGTTTCGAATGTGTTTGAGCAGTGTATGTTGACAGCGTTGCGGCTTTCTTACGGCCGAAATGGTTTTCAACGGTGCTGTCCTTACATTTTTTGTATTGCGTGGAACAGTTTTCCCAAGGCACTTGTCCAGGAAGGCGTGGATCTGGTTGTACAGCTCAGTGATGCAGAAGGGAACCCTCCTGGGAAGGGACTGGTTACCAAAGGTAGGGAGCGGTGGTGGTTTGCCAGAATGAGCTTCACACTTGCGATCGGCATGGTTTTCACACCGGTTGACACACGTTTTTTCTTTGTTGTCTTGCGCTCCTGCTGAATCCCGCGTATTTTGCGCATGACAGCAGAAGGGAAACGGGTGTCCTTCACACGGCACAAGAAAGCAGCGAAAAAACCGAGTTCACTCTGGAATGGTCTTGGCTTCGCGGCTTAGGGTTTAGGGGTTATTTATTATAGGATTTTGGCGGGTTTTAGGCTTCGGGGCTTAGGGTTTAGGACTACTAAGTATAGGATTTTAAGGGGTTCTAGTTTTAGTGTTCTCAACTGCCACACCCGAAGCTTGGCGACCGGGGTGGCGGGCGGGGGTTGTCAATGCAGCCAGCCAGCAGCACTTCGTGCCAGATAGATGCTCACGGCAGCCGCGTTTATGCGGGTTCTGCAAGCGCTCGAAATGGGATGACTGGGCTGACTGGCCTGCCAAGCCTCGAGGATGCCCATGTACACCGTCCATCCTGGGGGTGGATCGCCGTTACAGCAAGGGCCAGCCTCCTCTTGGCAGCCAGAACTTTGATAGCAGTAGGCCGACTCAAGGCGGCACACACCGCCCTCGGCATCACATCGACTGTCTGTCCCGCCTGGGCCACAAAAGTATCCCTGGTCGTGGCAGGAGCAGTCGCATGACCAATCGGTGATATTTCCAGGACCTCGCCATCCCTCTGGCGCTGGGTCGTTGCAGCAGGGACCAGCATGGTCGCCCAACATGGAGCAACCAAAATTGTCGTCGCCACCGTCGAAACAGGACAGCCGCTCTTCGCAGTTCGCCATGTTGCAACGAAAGTCTGTCCACCCCGGCCCACAAGGGTAGCTGGGGTAGCTGCTGTCATGGCAAGAGCAATCGCAGGACCACGATAAGTCTCCATCACACCATGCCTTCTGGAGGAGCAAAGCCGCTGTTAAAACAAACCTCGGCATGTCTCAGTTGTCCGAGACCAGCAAAAGGCTGAGTTGTGAAGCGCTTATCTGGCAGATGGCCCAGTCAAGATGCCCATGAATCGCATGGGGCGGCGGGTGGCTACAGTATTGATATGCATATATATATATATAGAGAGAGAGAGAGAGACCTAAAAAAAATGTGTATGTATATACATGTGTGCGTGTGTGTGTGTGTGACGTGGAAAGACACTTGTAGCGCAGAGCCGTGGGCTCCCTCGCCTGCGCATACTTGCCCATGACTGGAAAAAGAACAAACAAAGCTAGCTCTCCTGAAACGCTTCTTGCCAAAATGGCACCCGATCGAAAACAAGATCTGCTCCTGTTTTCCTCTTGCATTGCTCAAGAATGGCTGCACCCCGCAATCCGAAACCATACACCTTGCACTCAGACATAGCCCTGAAACATGCAAGGCGCACCATGTGGAACTTGTCCACGTCGAAGATGAAGTGCCACCACAAGGCGGCTCATGGAAAATCACACGAGCCCTGAAAAACGTCGGGAACACATAACGAACCAGGAACGCCTTGATCATTGTATGTTTACATTAACTTTAATTAAACTTTAATTTCATTATTTCTATTGTGTTACTGCTCCTTCCTTGTTAGCTATGGCTAAAGGTGGGTGGTGGCACCTGTGAAGGCATCCTAAGCCAACAAAACTGCATGAGACCGGAGGAGCAGAAAGGTCAGGTCATAAATACCCCCAAACCCATAGAAAGAAATCGGCCTTCATGTTACATACTTTGGAGGTGTAGGTACACGTAAACTGTACCAGCAACAATTACTCCGGCTAGACTCAGTAGGGTCTGAGGCTGCTGGGGGGTGTAAGGGTTTGGGGGCATGGTCTGTGGGGTTGGAAATGGTGGGTGCCGCCGTAACACCCCGAACCAAAATTCCGCTTGCCTCACTATTCTCAAAGGCATTATGGAACCCCTTCGGGATTCCTTTCTTTCAGAGCCCCGACCCTGCATGATCTATCAAGGCGCTGACTACAACAAAGCCAGGGCTGAGCACAGCACGGAAACCACATCGATATGTTTGAAACAAGTACGAGCAGCACGAGCCATGTCATCCTGGTCACGGCTTTCACAATAACTTTAATGCACTAGCTTCTCTTCGTAAATATATTTCAGATTGAAAGACAAGAAACACAACTTTCTAACATTAAATCTACAGGAACTTGGAAGGCCTTCAAGGATTGGGTAGCTACTGGCGAACTCTCGCCTCGTCCAAGAGAGGTAAGTTTGGCGGACGCCGCCTTGGTTGAAGGTTTTTAGGGTTTAGGGTTTAGGGTTTAACCCTTTCTTGGGGGTTCCGTTAAAGGGGATTCTGTTCTATTTGGGGTACAAAAGGGGCACCCCTATGTTGGGGAATGCCCATGTAGGGTGGTCAGGGACAAGCTTAGCTTCCACGGTTTCTCTGCTGTTTGCTGGGGAACAAAGTTTAGGCCCGAAACCCTTTTAGGTGGAAAAGAACCGAGGTTCCCAAGTCCTCTGCTGCTGTTTAAGCTTGGATGGGAATCTCGTCTCAGAAAGAGTGACTGGGACCAAACAGTCCCTTCCAGAACCCAGAAGAGAAAATGATAAACCGCATCATTGAACATACTTGGCCCTCGCAAACGGCGTGCCGTGAGCCCTTAATTTTGCTGTGAGATCAAGAGCCCCCAATGTAGATACCACCCCCGTAAGACCCAAAGCTCTGATCCCAACACTCCCAAACCCTAAACCCTAAACCCTAAACTAAACCCTAAACCCTAAACCCTAAACCCTGAACCCTAAACCCTAAACCCTAAGGTCCCGGCGCCGCAACGTACAGCTTCTTCACTCGGGGTCCCAAGCGCTTGGCCAGGCCGTAGGCCTGGGGGGCTTCGCTCGACAACAGGGCTTCGCTTCCTTGGGGTTCCTGCCTTTGGGCTTCAGAAGCTTAGGGTTTAGGGTTTAGGGTTTGGGGTTTGGGGTTTGGGGTTTAGGAATCATCCGGCAAAACAACCCTGGTGGTTTAGTCCTTCTTTCCAAAGGCAAACTGTGCTATCCCAACAGCGCCCCGGGGGTTTAATCGCTCACGCTCGGACAAGCCTGACGAGGCATTCGTCAGCCATGAGGGGACCTAGACTAGGTGCAGTGATACAAATGAGGCATGTTTAATTAGGGTTTAGGGTTTAGGGTTTAGGGTTTAGGGTTTAGGGTTTAGGGTTTAGGGTTTAGGGTTTAATCGCTCACACTCGGACAAGCCAGGCGAGGTACACAGGTTCAATAGTCTCAAATCGGCTCTGCAGCACATGTGGCCACATGCATGCTGGTGATACTACTCAACACTCACTGTTTGCTAACTGGTGAAAGGCTCATTGGCTAGTGAAACATACCCAGGACATGTCAGTACTTCTCCTCAACACCATACATCGCCATCTTCTGAGGTGGTGGGCGTTCAGGTCGCACGGGGCAGGAGAGAAATGGTTGACCCCAGAGCCCTACACAAAGTTCAGGTAGTGTGCTAACCCCCTATTACTCTGCCATTTCTCCCCCCATGGGATTCATCCTCTTTGCCCCTGCGCCATCTGTGCTCCGCCCTGTCATTAGCTCTTCCCTTTGCCCAGGTGTCTGCCCAGTGCTGTCTCCGGTCATTCACGCGCCCTTCCGCTGTCATCATCTCGCCATTGTCTGGCGCGCCTTGGAGCCGAGGCCTCAGCTTATTGCCAGCGAAGTCACATGGTCCCTCGGCAGGGGCTCGCCATCCTTGAATTCTGCTTGAATTCCTGAATGTTGACTCGAATTCCTGAATTCCAGCCACCATCCTCCTCCCCAGGCGCACTACTCCACTCCTCCCATGCAGTTCCGTGCAGACCATGCCATGCAAACGCGCTGTCAGGCGGACCGCAGTCCGCAGGAGAGCCGCGCTCCATGCAATCCATTCCATGCCAGTACGCAGTCAACTGAACCATTGTTCTACGTTGGATGCAGCCATGCAGGGGACGAACCCGCGTTGCATCCCGGTATGCAGGGGGCTACTGCGCCTGCTCACCCCGCGGACGCCTCGCCTTTTCCCCATCTGTTGACTCGCCAGCTCCCACAGCCTCCGCTATGTTTTGCTGAGCCAGAGCGGGTTGTGTGCGACCATGGCAGCGCGGGAGGGTGAAAACTTCAATAACCCTACATCCTGAGAGTGCAACCCTTGTGTATCTTAGCCCTGTACTACTCATGATCTGTGCACCTATTCATGACGTACGAACAACTCCTAGTTTACCGAGCTCAGGCGGGGGTACAGATCTCACTCGCGTGTCGGTCCTCACTCCCCCCCCCCCCTCCCCGTTTCAGTTGGTCCTTTTGCCGTCATCCCCACCCCGGGCCATGGCGGCGGGGCTTGCGCCCGTAGCCCCGGTCTGCGCGCTGGCGTCTGCCTGTAATGCATCCCTGTTACAACTCGCGCAAGTCAACAACTCACCGCACACAGCACAGCACACAGCCGACACACCCTCTGCCTCTCCTCTCTCTGTTTCTTCTGCATTTGCTGTCATCTTAATTCTGCGAATGTGTCTGTCAGGCAGTGGCGGGCGGCCCGCTCTTATGCCCTCCATCCAAGCTTCTGCCAACATGTGCGCCGCCTCCCTGGTTTCCGAGGGAACGTGGTGAGTGTTGCCGTACAAGAAAGGTTCTATCGCCCACCGCCCATCCGCTAACTCCCCTCTACTCGCCCCCCCGTCAGTACTACCAAGCCGACCCTCAATGATTTCCGCTACCGCCCCCGCCAGGGGCCTAGACATTTGATTCAGGGAGGAACGCAGGCGCTTCACCCACGTCCGTCCTGGCGAGACTTCACTGGTACGTGGGGGATACATTGGGGGGCGGCCCCGTAGCTCTGAGCTGGTTGCACAGGACCCCTAAGCTTGTGCACTTCCGGGCAGCGCTCGCTCTGAGCCTCATTCGCATCATCCCCTCCTAACTACTCGCTTGGGGGAAGTCGGGAGGGATATGACACAGGTAGTGCGGGCGCTACCATTGATACTTGTGCGACTCTGGCCGTGGACTCTATCTCGGGTCGGGTTTGTGCGGACTCATACGTTCAAAGGACCCTAGATCTTTTGAGTGGGGGGGTAATGTACTGATAGACTCACTCCTGCCAGTAGCTCAGGGTATGGGGATCTTAAAAGGGCCTAGGGGGTGATCCACTAACATAACACCTAGCCGGATCAGAAGTTTCGGGCGCACACCTGGGCTTTCGCGAAGTCACATTAGTACGCTGGGGGGCGGCTCAATACCAGAGGTACTGTTTACTGATGCCATGTAGGTCCCGGCTTCATGCACTTCGAGAGCAGGTCCTTTCTAGCTGCACTTGCGTGCGTGGCTGCAGGCCCCCTAGGACGCTTACCATCCTGCGGGGCTTGTTCTGCCTATGGTACATACTCAGCAACTCGTGGCGCGTGGTGTGCAAGCATGCGGCCCTACCAGTCATGCTCGGTCGCAAGGTTCAGTTAAAAACTATACAGAACCGGACCCTGCCCACCTAAATTCTACTTAAATTCCAAGCAAAATGAATTCGCAACATTGCAGGTTGTGATGCACCTCATGCTGTTGTTTCGAATTCTTACAAATTCCCAAATTCTGACGAATTCCCAAATTCTCGCCTTCTCCTATTCTCACTATACATACGTGCATTTCGGGCCTTGCACCCTCACACCACACTCGAGGTCCGCTGCCCGCGGCCCTGGTTGTTGCTGTCGGCACTCATCTTTGCGACATGAATCTCCCCAAGGCCGCGACATTGATCGGCATTGCATGGCCCTGAGGGAAGATGACCGTCGCGTATCCTCCCATTGGCATGCTGATCTGATCCTGGAGATTGATCACCGGTGGTCCCGTCGGCGCGGGTCCCTCCGCCTGGCTGCCCGTCGACGACGACGCCGGCGGCTGCCTCCATGGCCCTTGCTTGGGCTTGAGGTCCTCCAGGCATTGTTGGATCTCCTTGAGCAACTCGGCATCGGACCAC